GTCGCGAGTATTTTTGGGGCCTCGGGGGGTGCATGTGGTGACGGCGCCGTCTGCGTGTCAGGCGCCAGCAGCTGCACCAGGCATGGCATGGGCAACGACCAAGCCCACGCCGATCAGATCAGTCGCCCGCCTCCCCGACGTCGGGGGGCCTTTGCACAGGGGGGACATCTCGACCCGCACTCGCCCGCTGATCCCCGAGAGGGGCCCGTGAGCCCCACCCTGCCCGGGAGCGTGCCGGCACGCCATCGGGGGCCTCCGGCCGGTCTGTCGGCGATGTGCGTCGCCGATTCCGGGTCGATTTCCTCCCCCCCCCCCCCCCCGGCAGGCAGTCTCCCCCCTCTATCGCAGGCCTGGAAGTTGACACCAACACCAATATCGGCGGTGTGCCTCCAGCAGGGGAAGATTATTCCGATCTCGGCGCTGGTGGTAATATTCTGTCTTCCAAGGTGGCCGAGAGATTACCACCAACGCCGAGATCCAGGATAATCCCCCCCCCTGTGGAGGCACCCTCCTGTGTTGGTGTTGGTGCTCATTTCCAGGCCTTCAACTTTGTCGCTGTCCCCCACGAAGAGGGGGGCCCGCGCGCAGCGAGGGGCGCGCCGCGGCGGGGCTCCTCCTCGGGCTGTCTGCGCCCGCGGCGCCCGCGCGCGCGGGAGTGCGACCGCCCGCGGGGAGACCAGCGGCCGCCCCGCTTCGGGGGCCCGCACATTCCCGGGCCGGACGAAAGGGGGGGATTGGGAAAGGGGGGGTTGCGAAATTTGCTGCATGCAGCAGGTTTCGGCCTCACCGAGGGGCCCATTCCTCGAAACATAGCCGCCTCTGGCGCCGGGAGGCGCCGGGAAAATCAGCTGCGTGAGCTGATTCTCCCCCCCCCCCTTTGCTACTTTCGCCCGACTTACCAGTGGCATGGCGCCAGCATCGCAGGGCGGATGCCGTTCGTAAAGCGATAGGGATGGGCTCGGAGTGTCCTGGATAATCCGCACGGGCTTCGCCCCATGCCGCCGGCCCCCCGTCTCGGAGAATGGGAGGTGCGAAAGCTGAATCATGAGGTCTGGGCGCCGCCGTGAAGCAGTGTCGGGACCTGTTTGTGTTTGGACCCTGACCCTGCGGATCTGCGTGAGGGGTGCCGCCGAATTTCAGAAATGTGGCAAATCCCATATGTTTTGGACCCTGACCCCGCCGATCTGCGTGAGGGATGCCACCGGATTTCAGAAATGTGGCACATCCCTTGTGTTTTTGGACCTGCGTGAGGGGGGTGCCGCCGAATTTCAGAAATGTGGCAAATCCCGTATGTTTTTGGACCCTGACCCCGCCGATCTGCGTGAGGGGTGCGGCCGAATTTCAGAAATGTGGCAAGTCCTTTATGTTTTTAGACCCTGACTGCCGATCTGCGTTCCGTGTGTTTTTGCATCCTGACCCCGTCGGTCTACGTGAGGGTTGCCACCGAATTTCAGAAATGTGGCAAATCCCTTGTGTTTTTGGGCCCTGACCCCGCCCGCCGATCTGCGTGAGGGGTGCCTCCGGATTTCAGAAATGTGGCAAATCCTTTATGTTTTTTGGACCCTGACCCCGCCGATCTGCGTGAGGGATGCCACCGGATTTTAGAAATGTGGCACATCCCCTGTGTTTTTGGACCCTGACCCCGCTGATCTGCGTGAGGGGTCAATTTTCACTCACAGAAATTGTGAGAACCCTCCCAGGGTGTGGTAAAAATGCCCGTTTTGGGCCTCCCCCCCCTCGCGCGGTCCATCAACAAGGAACAGTAAGCAGTAAGAAACATAACTGTAACAAGGAAGAGTAAGCAGCAAGAAACAGAACTGTAACAGTGGAAATTGGAAGCAGCAACTGGCACAGGAAACTGCGAAGCTTCGGCCTGGAGCCTGGTGGCCCCACCAGGGGGCCGGCGGAGAAATCGTTCCGGATTTCGAGGTGCGTTTCGTGCGGATTTTTTTTGGTGAGCAGTGGGAAACCGACCCCAGCCCCCGCAACTATGGATTTTACATGTCAGCGTTTTGCATTCACGGCGAACGAGCGTAAGTCAGGAGGGGAAGAAACACACAGACACAATTAATCGTCGATCCCCAAGAAAATATCGGACAATATGGGAAGTGGGGGGGAAGACGGAAACCCCGAAAATATGAAAAAAATATGCGGAATCCATTTATTTGTGTGTTTCTGTTTGTGTGTCCCAGGGCCCTTTCAGCAGGTGCAGGCGCCCTGTCGGCGAGACCATTGCCTGCTGCCGCAGGGGAGCCCCGAGCGCGCGCGCGGCGACGTCCCGGGCCCGCTCGGCGCGGCCGCGCCCGCGCCGGCATTCCCCAGGGCGGCGCGTGCCACGGCCGCGGCTCCCAGTTTGAGGCGACGGCGGCGCTGACCCTCGCGCGGCAGCGCCGCTGGCCCAGCCGTGGGCCCCCGCGCCCGCCATCCGTCGCCCCCTCCTGGCCCCGCCCGCGGACAATTTTAGATCGGGAGTGCTTCTCTTAAGGCAACAGGTCCAATCTAAAGTTTTTTGGCGCTTATATAAAACATCCTGTTTCGATGAGCTTTCCGGGGCTCTCCCGCGTGAGACTTCCTGCTTCGGAGAAATTTAGATGGATTTTACAGGGAGTTTACATAACTTTTTCGCCTGGTGCCTAAACTGTGTTTTTGGGGTGGATCTAAACTTTTCGATGCGCGCCCGTGCGGGGCGGGCCGCGGCCCCGCATTTTTTTAAATCTATATATATACACACATGTTTATATATGTATATATATATATATATACCATCGCCGCCGAGGGCCGACGCGCCCGCTGGTTTTTACCCCGGCACGAACGCGCGAGTGTCCACATTGATTTGGGGCATGGACCGCGTGCCGGCGCAAGGAAACGCCAAGTTCAAACGCCAATGAGCATGGCAGCAGCGCGCCGTTCGCATTGAGCGTCGCGGCTATGTCGTTGGCTGACCGTCGAGCCGTTTCCGCTTTCAGTTCGCGCGTCGTTTGACGGTCCAATTGGTATAAAGTTCCTCATGTGGGGGGCGGGGGGTTTGTTTCGTGTGTTCATTCGGGGCCAATAGTGACGACTAACAACAAAATCCGCGCGAAATTCATTTTGTTTTTTTCCGAACCATCCTGCGGTGTTGGGTCCTCGTTTTGAAGAAACGGTCCCCGCGTTCTCCTCCTCTCGTGCCCTCCCCCCTCCTCCCTACCGTCCGCATGCGTCCTGCACACCCAGTACAACGTTTCGTGGCCCCATAGGAAGCCCGACCGAAGGTCCCAATGCTACCGTCCGCATGCGTCCCGCGCACCCAGTACAACGCTTCGTGGCCCCATAGGGAACTCCACCGAAGGTCCCAGTGCTACCGTCCGCATGCGTCCCGCACGCCCCGTACAGAGTTTCGTGGCCCTCCTCCCCCTCCTCCCTTCGTCTGACCGACCCATTACAACGTTTCGTGGTTCCATAGGGAGCCCCATCGAAGGCTCCATGGTACCGTCCGCATGCGCCCCGCACACCCAGCGCAGCGTTTCGTGGCCCCATAGGGAACCCCACCGAAGGTCCCAGTGCTACCGTCCGCATGCGTCCCGCACACCCAGCGCAGCGTTTCGTGGCCCCATAAGGGAGCTCCACCGGAGGTCCCAGTGCTACCTTTCGCGTGCGTCCCGCACACCTAATACAGCGTTTCGTGGCCCTCCTCCCCCTCCTCCTGCGTTTCACCCACCCAGTAAATTATTTCGTGGCCCCATAGGGAGGTCCACCGAAGACCCCAGTGCCCCCGTCCGCATGCGCCCCGGAAGCCGAATTTGGCATTTTCACCCGCCCAGTGCAGCGTTTCGTGGTCCCATAAAGGGGGCTCCACCCAAGGCCCCAGTGCCACCGTCCGTATGCGTCGGGGACATGTAATTTTGCATTTTCACCCGCGCAGTGCAGCGGTTCGTGGCCCCATAAAGGGGGCTCCACCGAAACCCCAGTGGGACCGTCCGGATGCGTCCCGGTGGCCCAATTTGGCATGGTCACTCACTCAGTAAAGCGATTCGTGGCCCCATAGGGAGCTCCACCGAAGCCCTCGGTGGGACCGTCTGCGTGCGTCCCGGAAACCCAATTCGGCACACCACCCACACAGTACAGCGCTCTCCCCCGCCCAGTGCAGCGCTTCGTGGCCCCATAGGGAGCTCCACCGAAACAGATATTTACAATTATGGTACCCACAACTGCATATGGTTGGGACCTTCGCCAGGATGATTGACTCGCCGATTTGGGGTTTTGTAGTGGCAGAAATGCACGCAAACTTTTGCTGCATCACGTCTGCAAGGTTGGTGCAGTGTCCAGTTTGAAACATATCCTTACCCCTGTGGTTGGCATCGCCTCACCTCGATGCCGATCTTAAACGTTCCTTCAGTTTCTGAAGCACATCCCTAAGATGTTCCTGTTTTTTTTGCTCGCCCATCTTAGGGATTGGGATGAGTTGGAGGCCCCCAAGGCAGATGATCCCCCGAGGTCTGTTCGAGGTCTTCAGGGGTCTTTGGAGCTGGTCCTGGTTGGGCTCCCCCCAGAGTCCCATGACGACCGTAGTGTCGCATGGCGGGTCCAAATTTGCTCCAGTGTGGTGCATAGATGCTCCCGAACCGCCACAACGAGAGCCCAAGATGACCACAGACCATGCACAAATTATGGTTCACCGAGGGCCTCGGAGGAGCCAAAGATCGCCCAAAAGGACTTCAAGAAGGCCCCGACAGGATCCCGAGATTGCCCAGGAATCCCCAGGAAAGCCCCAAGAGGGCCAGAGAGGACGTGCCGGTGAGCGCCTCCGACGGCCCAAGAGGGCACCAAGACGGTGCAAGGCAGCACGTAATCAGTAAGTCTCCCAGACGGCCCAACGAGAGCCTAAGGGGCCCCTAATGGTGTCAATATGGCCCCAGCAAAAGCGCCGAAGGGGACCCCATGACGAGCCGTAGCCACTTCGGCTCAAGCAATTTTGACTCGAGCATCTGGCTTCACGCTTTCCGCCGCAGTCTGTTGGTCCCATGTCACTGTCCCTCCGCGTTGCTCGTCTCTCCCTGCTCGGCCTTGCGGTCGCTGTGGCTACAGAGCGCAACGAGCCTTGCGATGACGGGGTGTGCCAGCCAGGAGATGATGAGCACGCTGCTCTTCTACAGAGCAGGATGTCGGAGAGGATGGAGGCAGAGCTGAGCAGGGAGAACCTCTCTGGCGCGGTGTTCTGCAACCCGACTCTGGGCCAGATGTGCCCTCCGGGCAACGTGGCGTGCCCGGAATGCGGCTCGACCTCGTGCCAGTGCCCAGGCGGCCCAGGCCCCAGCCCGAGCCCATCTCCTTCGGGCCCGATGTGCGGCAACAGTATGCAGTCGTGCACAAGCAGCCAGGTGGGCGACTCGACGGCGAGCGACGGGGGGGAAGTGAGAAGGAGGAGGCCTTCTCAGAAGGCGGCGGGGCTTCTCAGAAGCCCTCGCGCCTTCTGAGAAGGTATCGCTGTCTTCGGGGGAGGCTTGGGACACTTCTCAGAAGGCCGGGGGACTCCCTTCCCTTCTGAGAAGGCCCGCCCCTTCTCCCTTCCCCATCTCGCTCGCCGCCTAGCGACGCAAGAACACGGGGCCGTCTGCGCCGACATTGGCGCGTAAGCTGTCTGCGTGAGCTCGCGCGTGAGCATCTTCGCCTCCAGCGTGGCGTGCCGCGCTGGCGGCCCGCGTGCGCCACCGGTGCCAGAGCGCCATGCCATCTCGCGCAGGACCCGTCTCTGATCGTCGCGCCCAGGTGTGCATCGGCTACTACCACTCCTGGGGATGCGTGGGCAGCTGCGCGAACAACATGGCCTGCCAGGGGGCCGAGGGCAGCTGGGACGGGTGCAGCAGCTGCAAGGACCGCGCGGAGTACGTGATGAACTGGAACAACCCTGGGTACGCTGGGGGGTTCTCCCAGGCGCTGAGCAAGGTGGCCGGCGAGTTCCCGAGCGAGTGTGGCTGCCTTGATGACTGACGCCGCGTAGGGCACGGCGATGGATGCCTGACGATCTTCTGGCAAAGCCCGCTTGTGGGACAGAGACGGGGGGTGCGCCTGAAGGCATGTTGGGGGAGAAATTGGGATACCGGGGGGACTTTTTCGGCGGGCCTTTTTTTGTGAGCAACTCGAAGCAGAGAGCGGCCACCTATCCTCAGTCCGGCGACCCCGGACGCCAATGGCCGACTGGCAAAGGGCAGTCCCGGGAGGCGCGGTAGGGTGCCAGCGAGCACCGCTGCGTGGTTCGGGAGTGCTGCTACCAGCGCAGTAGCTTTCGTGCTGGCATTCGCTGCGTGCCCAAAAAAAGATGGCCCCTATGACGGGCCCCGCATGCTTCCAAGAATCGGCCGCCGAGAGCCCCGCGATGGGTTCTGATGAGGTGGAGGTGGTGGAAGATGTGGAGGAGGAGGAGGACGATCCACCCACCTGACCATCCCCGTCACTCCTTCGTCCCCGCCCTTCTCCCCATTCTCCTTCTCTCCCTCTCATCTATAATGCCTTCCCTGATCCGTCCTCTCCTCCCCCCCTGCTGTGCCCTCTATAACCCCTCTATAACCCCCAATGTACATTTGGCTGGTAGAAAGCGCGGGGGCGGGGGGCTGGGGGGGACAGCGGATGAGAATATATTCATTGAAGACGCCTATGGCGAACCGCCGCTGCCCCTTACCTTGAGGAATCTTCTATGTGGCCGAAGTTGTTGGCCATAGCTCTGCCAAGTTTTCGAACCATGTGTTCCCCCAGCCTTTTTGGAAACAATTCGGGGAACACGCGAGGGAGAGAGAAGAACCGGAGGAGAGGGAGGAACAATAGAGGAGGAGGAGGAGGAGGAGGAGGAGGAGGAGGAGGAGGAGCAGCAGTAGGAGTAGGAGGACGAAGAGGAGGAGGAGGAGGAGGATGAGGAGGAGGAGGAGGGGCAGCATGAGGAGGAGGAGGAGGAGGAGGAGGAGGGGGAGGGGAGGAGGAGAGGGAGGATGAGGCGGATGATGATGATGATGATGATGATGATGATGATGATGATGCTGATGCTGATGATGATGCTGATGATGATGATGATGCTGATGCTGATGCTGATGCTGATGATGATGATGATGATGATGATGGTGATGATGATGATGATGATGATGATGATGATGATGCTGAGGATGCTGAGGATGCTGATGATGATGCTGATGATGCTGATGATGGTGATGCGGAGGAAGAGGAGGAGGTGGAGGCGGAGGCTGATGCTGACGCTGAGGCTGAGGCTGAGGCCGAGGATGAGGATGAGGACGAGTATGATGATGCTGATGATGATGATGTTGATGATGATGCTGATGATTATGATGCTGCTGCTGATGATGATGCACATGATGCTGCTGATGATGGTGATGCTGATGCTGCCACTGATGCTGCTGATGCTGATGATGCTGATGATGATTATGATGATCATGATGATGATGATGATGATGATGATGATGATGATGATGCAGATGCTGCTGCTGATGATAGTGCGGATGATAATGATAATGATGAGGTTGATGATAATGCGGATGTCTATGATGATGCTTATGACGATTATGGTAGATGATGAGGATGATGATGCTCATGATGCTGATGATTATGATGATGGTGGTGGTGGTAGTGGTGGTTCTGGTGATGATGCTGATGATGCTGCTGCTGCTTCTGCTGATGACGATGATGATGGTACTGATTATGCTGATGATGCGGATGATGATATTGATGCCCAATAAAAGGATGATGCAGATGATGTTGCTGATGGTGATGATGCTGATGATGATCACACTGATGATGCTGATGATGGTGCTGATGATGCCGATGATGCTGATGATGCTCATGATGATGTCAGAGGATGACGCTGATGATTATGCTGACGATGACGATGCTGATTCTGATGATGGTGGTGGTGTTAGTGATGGCGCTGCTGATGCTGCTGATGGTGACGGTGATGATGATGCTGCTGATGATGCTGATGATGATGATGATTGTGATGGTGATGGTGATGGTGATGATGATAACAGTGCTGATGATGCTGATGATGCTGCTGATGATGAGCATGCTGATGCTAAAGCAGATGCTGATGATGATGCTGGTCATGATACTGATGATGCTGATGATGCTTCCGGTGACGCTGATGCTGATGCTGATGCCGATGATGATGTTGATGCTGCTGATGATGATGATGATGATGATGATGATGATGATGGCTGTGGTGGACATGATTATGATGCTGTATATGATGATGCTACTAATGATTGCGATGACGATGATGCTGATGATGATGATGATGATGGTGGTCATGTTGATGATGATGATGATGATGATGCGGATGATGATGCCGATGATGATTGTGATGGTGGTGGTGGTGGTGATGATGATGGTGATGATGACGATGATGACGATGATGATGCTGCTGCTGCTGATGATGATGATGATGATGAAGCTGCAATTGATGATGAACATGATGATTATGATGATGATGATGATGATGATGATGATGATTCTGATGATGATGCTGATGCTGATGATGCTGCTGATGCTGATGATGCTGCTGATGATGATGCTGATGATGATGATGATGCTGATGCTGATGCTGATGCTGATGCTGTACATGATGATGATGATGATGATGATGATGATGATGATGATGATGATGATGATGATGATGATGATGATGATGATGATGATGATGATGACGATGATGATGAGATGATGATGATGATGAGATGATGATGATGATGATGATGATGATGATGATGATGATGATGCTGATGATGATGATGATGATGATGATGATGATGATGATGCTGCTGCTGCTGATGATGAATGATGATGATGCTGATGATGATGATGATGATGATGATGATGATGATGATGATGATGATGATGATGATGATGATGATGATGATGAATGATGATGATGAATGATGATGATGAGGGTGCGGACGGAGGAGGAGGAGGACGAGGAGGAGAAGGAGAATGAGGAGGAGGAGGAAGAGGAGGAGGAGGCGGAGGAGGGAGGAGAATGAGGAGGAGGAGGAGGGAGGAGGAGGAGGAGGAGGAGGAGGAGGAGGAGGAGGAGGTGGAGGACTCGTGGCGCCTTATAGGGAGCGTTTTTGGGGCCTCTCGGAGGCTTCTTGGAAGCCTGCTTGGGCCTCTTGGGGGCCTGTTGGGGCTTCTTGGGGGCCTCATGGGCCGTGTTAGGGCGCTCTTGGCCAGTCTAACGCCGTCGGAAGCCGTCTCGGATGGCTCCCCGAAAAAAACTTGAAGCACTCTTGAAGCGCTTCAGGGCCGTCTTGGATGCCATCTCAGGTGCTACTGGGCCGTCTTGAGGCCCTCCTTTGGGCCGTTTTGGAGGCTCCTTGGGGCGTCATGTGGTCATCTTGGAGGCCTTAGGGGCCATCTTGGAGCGATCTTGGGGGCTAATTAGGCCGTCTTGGGCCGTCGGAAGGTCGAAACGGAGCAAAGGACAAAACTCCTTCAGAAACCATCGGCAAATCAATGATTTGGGCATCTTCCCGCCCTCCTGGAGGATCTCTTGGAGGCGTATTGGGCCTTCTTTGGGGCCTCTTGGGGGCCTCAGGGGCCGTCTGAGGCCGTCTGGGAGGCTATTTTCGACGAGCCGAAATCCTTCACATCAGTAATTTTGGGTCTCGGAGCCCACAGGGCGGTTTTTCATGTTTTCCATTCGACGTTCCATGAAGCCCGATGTCATTCCGAGGCCGCGCGTCGAACGTTTTCGATGGCGCGCCGCGTTATGCGATGTCACGTGCGTTGGGGTCGTCAAAGGCTTGCGTGCTTGTTGCGGATCGGTTGATGTGGGCTGGGGTTTCTCAGGATTGTACATTTGCTTTGCGCTGGGGCGGTTTCGACCCCCATCCCTGGCTGATCCACCCCGCGGGTAACGTCGCAGGAAGAGTTCGATCATTTCGTTCGTAGTGCCAGCGATGCTGTCGCGGACATTGACCGCGCCACGGGGGGGGGTCGTCCAGAAATTTCCTACCATATTGCAGTGTTGGTTCTTCGTTTTGAAGAGACACCGCCCCGCGTCATTCCTTCCGGCCCCCTCCCTCGTCCTCCCTCTTCGCGTATCTGCCCCTGCTCTCCGCGTGTCCCCGTCGTCATCGTCCATCGTCATCGTCGCCATCACCATCATCATCAGCATCATCAGCATTCTCGTCGTCTCCATCATCAATACCACCACCATCCTCATCAACATCATCAAAACACCCCCCTTGTTCCCCCGCGTCTCTGCTTCGCCACATCCCCCGCAAGTCTCGTGGCCTTGTGAGGTGCTCCACCGAAGGCCCCATCGGCAGGGTCCTTAGTGCGCCGCCCAGCCCATGTCGGCACGCCCCTCAGACGCTTCGTGTCCCCATGAGGAGCTCATCGGAGGTCCCGGCGGCAAGGTCCACATGCCGTCGCCCAGGCCACATTGATGACACCCTCAAACATTTCGTGCCCCTATAGGCAGCTCCACCAAAAAAAGGTCCCAGCGGCAGGTTTCCCAGGCCGCCGCCCAGCATATTTCGGCATACGTTTCACACGCTTCGTGGCCCCACGGGGAGCTACACCGACGGCCCCACAGGCAGGGCCCACAGGCCGCCGCCCAGCCCATTCCGTCATACGCTCAGAAGCTTCGTGGCCCCATTGGGGAGCACCCCCGATGGCCCAAGCGACAGGGTCCACATGCCGTCGCCCAGCCCATGTCGTCCACGAGTGGCGCCCAGCACGGCTCCAAGAGCGCCCCAAGAGGCGCCGAGTAAGTTGCACCCTCATGCAAATAGTTGTTGTCACTCGTGGGGGTCCTCTTGGGGCCCTCTTGGAGCATTCTTGGGGCCCTCTGGGAGCGTTCTTGGGGCCTTCCCGGGGCCCCAGTGGGCCTCCCCTATAGATCTGTTCAGTTATCTTTTTTATCTTTGTTAACTTTTGTGGAAGTTGTCAAAACTCCGGAAAGTTGATAACTTTTTGAAAAGTTGTCA